TGCATGCGAAGCCCATTTGCAATTTACTTTGACTTGGCGAGTTCAAAGCCTTCATACTCTTCCCGCATCCGGCCCTAACCCTAAAAATGGCCACGGGCCTCAAGTCGAGGAGGCGCACGACGTCCCGAGGTTGGCTGGGCAGTTTGGGAACATTAGCAGCTGCCTCGGCTGGCAGCGAACCCTTGAGGCACAGGGGGTGGTTTCGAAAAACTCTTTGAGCGTCGTTGAGCGTCGTTGAGTTGTAGAGCGCAGTAGTTCTGTGGCATTGTGTAGTCTAGAGGTCGTCAAGCCACGGCATCAGAAGGGAAGCCTGCCCGAACAGCCTGTGATTCCAGCAGTGTGAGGCCCAGAGCCGACTCCAAAGCACCGACCTCATCTTCAAGTGAATACATGTGAATACGTCCATGTCCAAGCCCACCCAGTGAAACACATCGCCTTGCACTGCTGCGTGTCCTTCATTTTGTTGCGAATTCGTATAAGGTTTTATGCGAATCGAGAGGCAATGCCCTCGAGCTCTGGCACCCATGTCTGCAAGCGGCTGCGCCGCCAGCTCTCAGGTTTCCAGTGGTACTTCAGGATGTAGCAGTTTTGCAAGCACTTTCGAGCCTTCAGAAACTAAACTTGCAATGTCTTCCAATGATGAACGCCATCTAAAAAGATAGTGGCAAACAAAAACAAAGGCGAGGAGGCCTGGATGCAAGCAAGAAGGCCTTCCCAAGCTGCTTGTCCTTGGGCATCAGACCCGGTGCACGTGGGACGTAAGTTGCCAGTCACAAATTAGTCACAAACAACACTGGCTACTTCTTGCACTGCAGGCTTCCTAAACCGTGCCAAGTCGTTTACGACGATAGCACCAAACTGGCATCGCAGCTTCATTGCTAAGCCAGGTGCGGCAACCACGGGACTCCCGGGACACCGCTGACACAAACGAGTCCTGACATGACGGCTTTCTTGGGAACATGAGCTGCGTCGTGGTCCTTCAGGTACCTAAAGTTACAAACCTGCTACTAGTTACTAGTATCCAGTCGAGATTCCGTGTCGTTTCCTGGACGAGGTTCCTGAATGCTGATGCCCAAGTCGAATTCCTCCATTTTCAATGAGACAATGCTTTACCGAACTGCGAGTGATCAATTAAGTGCTCAGCTTCTGCCTCTGCAAGTACCAGAAGCGCCCGGAAAAGAAGCTTCCTGATGCTGGCCCGTGTCAGACGGCACATGCCCACTGCAAGACGTGAATCCAAACAGGGCTCTCTGCACAAGTTCTAGACAAACCCTCTGATGCTTACCATGCGCGGTCAAGCGTCATCCTTTCAGGTTGCCGCTCGTTGGCAATCCAACCTACACAAGCTGGTGCATGGGAGTCTTGTCGAGGTATGTGGTTTGGGAAGGGGCTGGGCCTCATGCAAGCTCACTCGTTAAAAAAATCTGCCGGCATTTGAAGTGCAAGAGTTTCACATAAACGTCATGCTCTCCAAGCCTGGCAGGCATTCCCGCTGCAACTTCCACCTTACATGACAGGTGAGGACTTGCGCGGAAGGACCTCGTGCAGCACACGCGCAGCATCGAGCTTCTGGCTCCTGCAGCCTAGGCGCAACTTGGCATCATGCCCGGAAACTCCAGCTGTCGGAGCTTGCGAACCCACTGCCTTCACACCTCCCTCCTGAGCCGCATCTTAGGCATATTTATATGGATGCTGTACATCAGCATGGACCATGGATTCCGGACGTCTGACAGGTCGCAACCAAAACATATACTCGGCGGTTGGGAGAAGTGACCGGTTGCGAGAAGTGTGCTGAGACGCCATGCGGAGCTTGCGCCCGAAGAGCAGCACTTCCGCACTGGGTTTCTGGATGGCTGGGATGTGAGGGTTCAGGTTCCGTTACAGGATGTACTGGGATGTCACTTCAAGCATTGGCCAGTCTCAATCCACGCTGGACGCAGGTGGTTGAGACCGCTCTCGGACGGTCCTCGTGGGGGAACGGTCGGGGGAAGCCGTGCTCTGTGCCAGCACATTCATGTACTGTGAACATGCCCTACGGTACATGGAGTCGGCTCTCGTCAGGCCGGGTATGATGTTTGCACAGTTGTTGCCCCAGCTGTTGCAGACGGGAACCTGCATCCGTGAGTGCACAAAACTCACAAAAGAGAGAGTGAGGCGAGGAGGTGGCCTCAGAGATTCAGGGTTCCAAGATGTTCCAAGCGTCCACATACGCGTGCATGCCACTGTAGTGGAGCCACAATACACGAAGGCCAAGCGGAAGGCCTGGCCTGCTCAGTATTCCCATATGCATTCCTCCATGTTTTCCTTAAGTGCTTGTTCTTGTGCCTTGCCCCCTTTTGCCCTGCCTTTCACCTAAGGCGGGGCCTCTCTCCCCGGTTGTTTGAGGGCCGGAAGTTTCGAAAACCTTGCGCGCAGAAAGACAGATGACCCTTGCGGCGAGAAGGAGAGATGCTTTTGTTTCTGTCGTTGGTGACTGCTCTGGCCCACTGGATTGCCGAGACTTTCAATCTCCTTTCGGCAGCTGTGGCCTATGGGCTTTCGATGGTAAGTCGTGGATGTGTGACACGACTGGAAAGCATCACCTCCTGTCACCCCGCCTGGGACGAAAAAGCACGGGTTCTGCATTGCAGGTGGGCCATTGCATGCATGCGCATCCGGGGCAACCGCCGATGCAGGCAGTCGACATTGATAATAGTCGAAGCCTGCACCCACATGAACACGCAAGCGTCGCATAGTGTCGCAGGGCCTTGCCCGCAACTGACCTCCTGGTTGTCCTCTGTGTGGTGCCCAGTCTTGTCCGCAAATGTAACCTGAGATGCTGGCGAAAGTTATCAAGCTCTTCTTGATGCACAGCCGCGGGGCAGAAGTGACGACCGCAAACGCTGCAGATCCTTGGCTAGTTTGCAGTTCACAGCTCTCTAGCCCTGTGGATTAAATCTGGCATCTACATGGGGGCTATAGAAGATCGGATACTATCGGGATTGAAGCGCGAATATCTGGTTCGGTTTCGTAGCTGTCGCGACTGGCGTACTTGCCACATACAGAATTTCTACCAGCCGGGGCGGAAGAACTGTTGCCTGCACTTAGGTCGGGTGTGTGCGCAGGAAACCCATGCATGCCGGTGTATATGTCCCGACCCTCCCCTGATCGACTGCTGCTCTGACCACGGCCTTCAGGACCCCCAATTCGGCAACCAGGTCTCCGAAGCCAATGGGGAGTTAGCTTTGTGGGTGTCTGATTCAGGGACTGGGGCCGATCGGGCCACACATGGCGACCTTCAACGTTCTTCACAACGTTTTGCAGCGCTCTTAGGGGGCTGGTTGCCTAAAGGTCTATTGGTTCAGCCAGGTGGCATGTGGTTGCAGCCGCCATTTCGTTGAATGCTTGCGCCACATGTGCACGTTTTGGAATTCTGGCTCAGCCATTTGTTTGTTTCCTGGGCTCGCCAAGTCTCATGCTGCTGCTGATTGCTTTCGCTTCCTCGAAGCTCTTTCGATAGTCCACAGCTGCCAAAGCCAAGAGGCATCCTCCATCTGCTTCCGAACCTTTGCCAGATCCGATAGGAAGATGTTCCGTGCCTGACAAGGCGCCTGGGCCACAATGTGACGACAAAGGAGGTTTTAAACTACTCACTCAGATGGGATGTACGAAAAGAAGGGACCCCCACGATAGACCGGATGCTCTTACAATAAGGATCCCCCAATATCGGAAACCCCCTTCCAAACTCCCTTCTGAACATGAACGACCAAGTCCCGTGCTGGCTCGTGCCCACCGAGGGTTTTGCAGCTGAAGCAAAACTGGGTGCCACATGCGCAAACCGCAGTTGCAGACCTGAGCGTGAAAGGCAAGCACCCCTAAACGAATATTTCACGCCGTGAAGGCCCTGGACCCAAACTGCTTTGCAGCCGAGAGACAATATCTTGTTGCCCTGGCTCTCCTGAAGGGCATCGAAGCGGGAAACGAATGCTCAGCCGGCCTCACAGCCTAATGTTGTACCTGCTTAGTGGGGGGCCCCCTGTTTAAAGTCACGTTGGCCGCACTATTGAGGGCACCCGAACGGTTTGGCAGAGCGGGCCCCGCTTTAAAGTCGAATCGGTCCCGCAAGCCAGACTTTTTTCTCAGAAGTCAGGTTTCCCTTTGAAAAGCCATATACAACGATTGTCTTGATCAATCCGGCAAAGGGGTGGTCCAGGAGCCAGCCTAACCTCGAAGAATGGGCGCTGTTTCGGGACCCGCCTTTAATGTCTTGGCTGGATTTCGAAAAAACAGATGGATCCCGTTTAAACTCATAAGACTCATCCAACTCTCATCCCTTTTCATGCCATGTGGATCCCTGTTAAGTTCATATAAACCCTACAAACTCAGCCCTTTAAAAGTCATATGGATCCTGTTTCATTAAACTCCTCCCTATTACAATCGTACCAAAATCCCCGGGCCGTCTAAAGCACACGCAGAAAACAGCCCCACAAACCTGAAATCGTGTGAGTCCCTATGCCCTGAGCCGCAAGAGAGCCTGGGCGGGCAAGGATACGGCCCGGCCGCAGCCAGGCGCCGGACACCAGGCCTGTCGCCATCGTCAATTAGGGTCTGGTGTTTGGTGCTCAGGATAGTGCAGACAAGCTCGGGAGGTTGAGGCAGCGATTGATTTCTGAGCTCTTTGCCATGTTCTTGTTCATGTCGACCTGATCATTGTGGATGGCACATGTATCAGCTGGGCGTGCCAAATTCCGCTCTGTACGCTCTTCCGTTCATCTGCTTAGAGCATGCTCTGCTCTCATATTGTTTTGCTTCTTTGCTCAGACGTGGTGCGAACTTCATCGTCTTGAGCTGCTCCAGCTTTGTCTGCTCCTCACAAAAAGGAATATCAGAGGCCTTTTGCAGATTGCCCATTTGCGGATCTCTTGGCCAAGACCAGAGACAAATGCGCAGTCAAGTGGCTTGGCTGCCAGCTCCAAAGAGCAGGCTCAGAATCTCTTCTGAAATGGGCATGCGGCAGTTTGGCTCGGGGCATATGACCCCAGTAACATCACCTTCGTCCAGTCGGACCTGAAGGTGGCCATCTGCAATCGAACTGCTTGTGCGACTGGGTGCTCACAGGAGTCATGTGCACAAGTTGCTTTTGCAACTCTTCCCCCGCTGCCTTGACGTGCATGCTCAGGCAGCTGTCGCAGGTCCAATGCTTGCATAGCAGCAATCGGCACGCGGATTTGCTTGCATCAACTTCATCAAAGCATACGATGCCTCCGCTCTCTGGCACAGCATGTGTACTCAGTGTACTCATCATGCAGATTCTTGCTGCCAATCGCCAGCCCAAGCGCAGACTGACGGAGCAGCTCGGTCAGGACCATCCCGTTGCCCAAGCGTCCTTCTATTGGAACTTTCTGTCAACAAGCTTCAACATCCTTCTGGAGTCTCAACCTGACCCAGCTGAGTCTGCCTGCCTTGGCCCAAGACCCTGCTCTTGGTCACTTGCGGGAAGGAAATCGACGCTGCGCAGCCTCAGGCAACGTGTGTCTAGGCACGAAAATTCTTCGAAAAGGAGGGTTCGAACAGGAAAGGTCGCTCCGAGGTTGATCGCACTGAGAAGAACTTAGGAACAGATGAGAAAACGATGCCCCGCGATGTTCGAGTTCATCATCTGTTTAAGGCTACGCGCCACAAGCCTTCAGGAATATGAGAGTAAAATTAGTAAAGTACGAGAGCAACATGAGTAGAACGAGAGGAACATGAGTAAAACAAGAGAAGGCAAAAGAGAAGAGATGTGCCAAGAGACCCAGCTGCATCCAAGGCCTCTCTAGGAGAGACTCGGAATGCAGCAACCGCCGCCTGTTGTGAGATCACTGGTGCGGTTTAGGGTTTAGGGGTTTAGGCTGCAGGGTTTACTCGCCCACTCTCGCGCAAGGCCGGCATGCGTCATGTTAGGCGATATATAGGGTGTAGGGTTTAATGTCCCGCCACCCATCCTCCACGTCGAACATATGACTTTGCAAGAGGGCTTCAGCCGCATCTCGCGGTAGCAGCTGCAAGGACTGTGTCCCGGACGAAGCAACCAAGCCTCAGACATGCCATCAGCACTTCAAAGCCAAAGAACGGCCAGGGCTGACCGAGGCGCCGCATGAATTCTGCAGCTCTTGAATCCTTGGGAAAAGCCGAATTTCAGGTGTTGAATGCACAGGCAGGGCATAGGGACCGGTTGCCAAAGACAAATTTCGGGATGATGCCAGGCATCTGCTGCTCTAAAGCCGACAGAAGCTGCTTCTCGCCTTCGTGGACCACGTGCTTAGCAAGTGGCTCCTTGCTTAATGACCTCAGGTCTGTGCTTTTTCATCATTCCTCCATGTTCCTCCTCTTGCTTGTTTCCATCTCAACAACTGAAAGGCCGGGGCACCCATCTGGACTCATTCGGCCCAGTGCGCCGGACAAGCATTCGCGCAGAGCGTGCCGCTGGTGCGGCAGTTTCCTCAGGGCTTAGGGCGTATCAGTTGGCCTCAGCCCCATGCGCACCAAAAAAACCCCTACAATATAGGGCCAAGCTTCAGAAGCCCCTGCCACTGGTCGTGATCACCCGCCAGGAGCCTGGCACAAACCATGTGGCCATTCCGTAAGGCCACCTCGCAGGGCACATGTTGTATAGGATCATGTAGGGATAAAGTGCAGGCATAAGTCAAAATAGCCCCCACATGCCAGATCCCGAATTTGTGACTATTCTTGGAAAAACGCCCACAGGTCGATGCTGGCATGTGCTACACGACATGACCTCGCAAGGCGAATCGCCGCTGGCATCCTCGATTGCCAGGAGCCCGACAGCCAGGCCCTGAAAAGTGCGCAGCCCGCGTGCAAGCCGCTCTACAGGTCACGTTGTCCAAAATCCCAGGCCTCTTCCATGGCTGCCCCAATGCCTTCTACCTGGTGGCCCATCAGCAGGAGCAGCTCCTGAAATCGGCTTCCCACCCCAATGAGGCTTCCACCCCAATGAGAACCGAAGAATGCTGATCCCCAAACATCCAGGTTCAGTCCTGGGCCACGGCATAGGATCCCGAAGCGGCAGCACAGTGCAGTGGGGTTTGCGCCGAGGCGTTGACCACCTGCAGCCTTCTTTTTTGAGCTGAGAGCTGACTTTCAACACGGGGGCGGGGGCGGGGGGGGGGGGCGGGCGTCTTGTTGATTTTTGTTGAATTGTTCTTGCCACCCCCCTAGCTGACTGAGTTACTGAGTTGTCGCACAGTGTGGTTTGGACTAGGTTTGGGTTGACTCCGGCCAAGAAGCTGCGCCAATGGCAGCCGACCACTTGTTGCCAACTCGTGAAGAAGCCGTGCGCGGCGCTCGTCGGTTAACTCCTGGAACAGTCGATCTAGTAGATTCGAGTCTTGGCACGTGGACTTCGGACTTGATCAGAAGGTGCAGGAATGTCGGAATGCCAGTAAAGAACCCACCAATGTCATACTGAGCCAATTTGGACTTCAGCTGGTCTCCGGCAGCTTCCAGAGCCGCTGATCCCGCTGGGTCCAGGCCATACATCGCTGGGCCGCCTCCGCCGCGGCGGTTGCGGCGCGGCCTCAGAACTCTCAGGTAGCAGGGGGGGTTTCCGAAATGGAGGGGTGGAGGGTCCCTTTAAGGATTCGATTCCCATTTTCGGGATGGGGTACCCCTTTTTTTGGGAAATACCCATGTAAGAGGAGCAGGTGAGGGTTCGGAAACATGGGGTATGTAGTGGGCATCCTTTTCAAGAGGCTTGTGAGGCTACAGTCGTGTCCTTCTGTTCTGCAACATCGGCTCCAGAGCATCTCTTTTGCCTCCCTTGTTCCCCGCCCACAAAACGCCTCATAAGCCCTGAGTCTACCTGTAAAGCCATCAATATATCCGTAAACCCCCGCCCGGACGCCTTCGCCCACACGGTGCTCCCCGCGTGCTAGGTAGTGGATGGCCATCTCACCGTCCTCGTCGTCATAGCCTCAGGACTGAATGCCCCAACATTTGTAGATTCACATATATTATCTCCTCCTCATAACAGACCGTGCCTTTATCATATACCAGACCTCCGAATCATTGTTCCTTTCATGGGGCTGGCGCCTCCACTTTCTTTCCCTCAGCTTCTTCTTCTTTTTCTTCTTCTTATTATGCTTCTTCTTCTTCTCGGCGTGCTCGGGGCGCTGTGCCCCCACGCACACGCAAAGGTTCGGATCAAATCGGCTGATGAAGGTTGGGCCCACGAGAGATGCCATATCTTCCTTCGGCACAGAAGCCCTCCAAGGAGGCACCCAAGCCCGCGCACACTCCCTTCTTCTTCACGCAGGGCTGTGGGGGCTTTGGGGCCGAAATCTGCCCAGGCCGCGAAAGTTTCCAGAATTCAGAAGTCCAAAACTCCTCACTTTCCTACATTGCAGCCCCGGGTGTTGTCACACTTTCTATATTGTTCTTAAGGAGACGGTTCTCCTGTAGGTCCTGCGTGGGCCAGGCTGCAAAAAACTGAATACGAATGCTCCATGATTCGAGTGAAGGTAAGAAGACATATTTGAGACAATTTCACAAAACTAAATACGTCTGTAAAGGCACGCACACATACAAACTGGTATGTTGGTACAGTAAGATGTTGCAATATTCACTTGACTCGCAGGATAGGTTCATCCATTAAGTGCTCACTACTTCCGGCACATGTGTTTTCAGCTATGGCGGCTTTTGAGTGGATATGCTAGAAGAGTCCAGATTTCGTGCTTTTCGCTTAGTGCTACTTGTTTTGCTATGGCTGTCTTACTTCCTTTCCGATGGCATAGTCTTGCTGACATTCGTTTTGTCTGCGAGATGGAAGCAGGTACAAAAAAGAGAACAGCAAAATTGTGAATTACGCTAAGTACATGCATACTATATCGAGGGTCCAAGGAGGATAAAGCTGAACTTCCCCCTTTGTGTACAAGCGAGTATGGAAGGATGCCTGCGGGGACGACGCTTCCCTTGGTAGATACTCTCCGCTGTACCCAGCAATTCATACAGTTGATTTATAGAAACCTCTGGACCCGTGGCCCTGAAAGGACAATCTCAAAACGCACAAAGTGCTGGTCTGTCGTTGGGGGATTGAGCATAGACCACTTCACGCCCTGGAAATGCTTATCGAAGAGCTAGGTGACTACATAAACAGGCATTAACAAACAGAAACAATAAAGTCAATAAAGACACACGACATACAGACAGACAGACAGGCAAACATACACATAAACATCTTTTACATACACAGATTTTTTTTTTACAACATCTCTCTCTACAGATGTACATATCTATATAAGAGGGGTCGCAGACGGAGGTTCTTGCCGAGCTGCTGAAGAAGAGGGAGGCCCTGCTGACCGAGGCTCTAGACGTCGGCGTTCCGTGGCCTGCCCGGAAGAGAGAGCCACATGCAAGAAGCACGCTTAGAGGCTTTGGGGCCGGTTCAGGGTTTCGGAATTTAGGAAGTGCAGGAGAAAAAACGCTAGCTCCCTCTCGTCAGTTCAGTCGCCAACGCTTCCGCGTCGCCTCTTTCTGAAGGCGAGGGCGAGGTGGGAGACTTCGGATCATCCTCTGGGACTCCTGGTCAGTCCCGGCCCGACTCTCTCCAACTCTACCTGCCCCTCTCCCCCATGCGCTTCCGTCCTGCGCAGCAGGAGCAGCGACACTGGCAGTGCATGAAGCTCAAGAAGATGCAGCGGTACATGCGCCACCTAAGCGCCAAGGATGCCCCCCGAAACAAGCTGCTTAAGGGCACTTACCTTGTGAAGTCTGCTTAGGGTGATCAGTTCAGAAAGCTTCTCACAAAGACCGGCACAGTACACGGCACCGCCGTTCTCGGAAGTCCAGCAGAAGATCTGTAATCGAGCCATCTCCGAGGATGAGGGCCTCTCTCCTGAGAGTGGGGGCGTCTTCACAAGCACCGATTGGCAGCGGACCAAGTACATTTCCCTTAGCCTTACCGAGCGTATGAAGGGAAACTACAAGTCCTTGCACCCAAGTATGCCAGGGATCAAGATGCGCTGTGCTCTTCGTACTCGCGGGCGCTTTGGCTGTGCCTCGCGTTGGGCTTGCCGGGTCCGCTGTCGGTCCTCACAAGCTTTCGTGAAACAGGTGGAAAATCCTTGGTCTTCGGGGTGCCGGATTCCATGATGGTACTTGAAATGTACTCTAAGACGTCCCTGGAGGCTGTCGCTGCTCTGTACCACATGGCCCTGGCGAACCTCTGCACCATCACACCAAGAGGACAAAAAGGACTTGCAACCGCAACCTGAGTTCAAGAGTGGCCTCTATTCCGAGGGGGGGGCGTCGAACGACTGCACTCATCACATCGTACTACGTAGCATGCTGGAGTACAAACAGTAGCGTGCAAACGGGTGGCAGCACACGAGTGCGCAAGGACACTGCAGCATCAAGCAAGTTGAGATGACCTCGGTGAAGGCAGTCGCTGCTCAGTACTTGACCGTGACCAACAGCCATCAAAGCAAAAAGTAACCGTTGGTTGATGACGAAGTGGCATACCTTTGCTCCACTTCCCGGTCGCAGCTTCCCGCTGCAGTGAGGATCCTGATGCCAAGCATCGCCCCGGTCACGCACACCATCTTGCCATTGCATGTGAAAAAATGCGCGACCAAGCTTCAGCAAAACGATCGAGGTGATCAGAAGACAAGCCACCGCCAGAAAGGAGCCGGTTAACATGGGAAGCACTGCCCATTCTCCTTACAGCACATCTTAAAACTGGCCGCGTCGGTGCATCTGCGCCAACCGCACGAACCCAACGAACCCAAGAAGGACTGGCAGCATTGGACAAATAAATAGTCTTGAAGTATTGCTGCTTTCAGGAAGCATTGCATGAGTGTTGTTTTTAGATTTTGGTGACTTGCATGAGTTTGTTGCGCTATATTCTCAGGGTGCCCTCGAAGGACATACAAGCTGTCTTTATCTTGACGGAAGCATGATCTCCCAGTGCTCACTAACTCAGATGGAACCGCAGGGCGCTCACATATGGAACCCCAAGCTTAAACACCCACGGTCTCATAGCTGCAATAGCAACTGCTGCTCGAACCGTATTCGGCTTTTTATGGCGAGGTCTGAATTCCCTTTTGGACGTTCGAGGGGCGAGCAATCACGAAGCAGATGAGCCAGCCAACGTGCATCCCAACGAAAACAGGTGGAAAGAGAGCTGCCCATCCAACCTGCAAGGCATCTCTGCAACACCCGGTCGGCAGAGTCTCCACTCACACCGCGACGACGCCGCATAGCGCAACAGGGAAACACTTGTCTGCAGGGCTTGCGGCTTTCAACCCGGGGATTGAACTTGGCCGAGTCAGCTTCACAAGACTTCGAGCAGGGCCTCCGCACATGTAATCGGTTGACCATCGCTGAAGGGATTCGCCCAGCTGTAGGGGAGGCTCTGCCACGCACCTCAGAAGCGAAAAGGGAGGCCACCCGAAGCTGTCCTGTGTCCAGGCTCGGGACATGCCCCAAGGGATGCAGCAGCGAGCGTGAAGGAGATCACTCGAGAGCATTCACCTCGCCAGGGCAGAGGAGTCCAGCTACACTCTAGCTGAGTTGTATTTATTGTATGTGACACCATCCCCGTCAACCAGCTTCACATACTCGCCCTTAAGTAGGGGTATCTACAGCCAAGCCCCGCACGCTCGCAATCACAGCGGCACGGGCGGCAGGCCGCCCCATTCCCCATGGCCAATCCCTTGCTTGGCAAGCGAATTGGTTCAGGATTGTCAGGTACATATTTTTGAAGCTCTATAGGCCCTAGGCTGTGGACCTCTTGGGTGGATCTATGTCTTAGCTCGAATTTGGCCAGCTTTCTGTGACGTGCGCAGCACTACATCTTACACGTCGCAGCATGTCTTTCTCCGACTGACGTGGACGCCCCTTCGACGGCATGTGCAACTTCGAGCCGACATGACTCGGCGACTTGGCGTCTCTGGACAGGCAAAGCAAGTCTCTTTGGCTTCCCTGCTTCCACAGAGAAGTAAGTGTGTGTGTGTGTGGCGGTGACGGGCCTATGGCGGAGGACTCACCGGTGACAAAGGTACAAGACCAGGACTTTCCCTCTTCGGAGGGTGTGCGTGCAGCATATCTCTTGTGGCCTTGGAATGCGCTGTGTCTCCCCTCGTAGGAGGGGTGTGTGTGTGTGTGTGTAAACCCTGATTCTAAGCTAAGGGGCTTGGAGCTGAGAGCTTATGCATGAGTCGAATTTTCCCGCAGGGGGATTGGGCCTGATGCTTCTACCCAATCCAACGAAGCTATGAAGCATCAGGGGATGTGGAGTTTGGCCAGCTCCATGTACCTGCAATGTTTTCCAGGAGTCCCGATGGGATTCCCCTATACTGAGGTCTCTCCTGTACTGAGGTCTCTCCAGTCATCTCCAGTCAGTGTACCATTGTACAACAATCTCTGGCTGACCTCCCTCTCTCCGTGTGTGGGCTTCGTCGCCCAAGGGCAATTTACCCGTTTGGGCATTGCCTGATTCCTGGATGGGGATCACCCAAGTAAACAGAGAGGCTTCAGTGCCAGATGAGCCTTGGTAGGCACCCAGTGCTATGAGCGGATTCTCTCTCTCTCTCTCGAGGTACCAGCCACGGCTGAAGCTCAAAGTCGCCAATAAGGGCGGAACCGGAAATTGTTGAAGGGCGTCGTAAGCCCAGTCGTGAGACATAGACGAGGTGGTCTAACTCTCTATTCGTGGGTCTCGACCCGAGTCGTATTTCCGGTGGTTGCCCCTCAGTTGCAAATAGACCGTTTTCTTTCTTTAAAAGTAGAGGTGCTCTGGGTCGCTGTGGACAGCGGGGGCCTCCTGGATGCTCCTGGGTCCTTTGTGGCAGCTGGGGGTCCTCCACGACGACGACGATGATGGGAGGTGCCTTGGGTCAAGGCGGTGGCAGCTGGGATCTCCCGGACGCTCCTGGGCCTGTCATGGCAGCTGGAGGTCTCTGACGACGATGATGACGACGACACTAAGGATTTCTAAGGTCGGTGCTGGAGGAGGAGGGCCTATGGCGGTGACGGGCCTATGGCGGAGGACTCACCGGTGACAAAGGTACAAGACCAGGACTTTCCCTCTTCGGAGGGTGTGCGTGCAGCATATCTCTTGTGGCCTTGGAATGCACTGTGTCTCCCCTCGTAGGAGGGGTGTGTGTGTGTGTAAACCCTGATTCTAAGCTAAGGGGCTTGGAGCTGAGAGCTTATGCATGAGTCGAATTTTCCCGCAGGGGGATTGGGCCTGATGCTTCTACCCAATCCAACGAAGCTATGAAGCATCAGGGGATGTGGAGTTTGGCCAGCTCCATGTACCTGCAATGTTTTCCAGGAGTCCCGATGGGATTCCCCTATACTGAGGTCTCTCCTGTACTGAGGTCTCTCCAGTCATCTCCAGTCAGTGTACCATTGTACAACAATCTCTGGCTGACCTCCCTCTCTCCGTGTGTGTGTGTGTGTGTGTTTTTTTTTTTTTTGTGTGTGTGTGTGTATCAACTGGTGGCGATAGGGGCAGCTTTGAAAGGAGCATGCACCTTGTTTTCTGAAGCCCATTCAAGGCCAGACTCTTCGATTAAAAGCCGTTAAAAATGCTTTATTGTGTATACAGTATATATAGTGTGTATGTACCTATATAGAGTATATACAGTATATATAGTACATACAGTACATATAGTACAGTATATATTCTGGGGCGGGTTGCCGCACTCATGCAGTCGAATTCTGTTCTGGGGCCTCTGGCCGTTGGGGAAGCCTCGATCAAACTCAGGCTGGACCGAACCATGCCCTTCAAAAGAGCAGGCTTCAATGCTCCAAATAGGGTTTCGGGTTTCGGGTTTGGGGTTTAGGGCCTCCAAATCGGTTTGCGGCCTCCAAATCGAGAAGCTCCGTTGGCTCGAAACGTAGGACCAAGACTGTTCAGCTGCATCGTTGAAGCCTGCCTTTTAAATAACGCCCCTTCGGCGCCCTTCCCACAAGCCAAGGAATTAGGCTCCATCTGCTCAGATCTCAAAGAGATCATTTCTTGGGTTTGGCAGCCATCACGGCATCGAAAGCTTCCTCAGAGGTCCGAATGTTGAAGTTTGGGAGAAGCACGCTGGGTCACTTTCAAGAATTGGCAGGTAATGTGGATCAACCCTGAGCTGAAACCTTTTGCCTAACCAGGCACAGCGTCTTTGAACCCCTCTGGGGTATAGAGCTGGAGTGCTCTGTGGAACTCCCGGTACCGGTAGGTTCCAGGAGTCAAGCACTGTACAACCTCGTCCAAGATGAGATGGCCATCTTTGTTTTTATCGATGACCTGGGCAACCAAAAAAGGGTTTCAGCGAGAAGCTACCAAGGGCAAGCTCTCCGGCAAAATGTCTTCCACTAAAATTCCTATTCTGGACCCTACGAAGGGACATTGAAGGCTTCACGATGTCGGGCATCGATGTGCGTCTCGTAGTCCGCCATCCTCACAGTCCATCACAGCAGTCCCCACCGAGAGAAGAGAACACTTAAGTGACTTCATCTGGCTCTGAAAAAAGCAGCTGCCAGTACTGCTGCAGTAGGAGCCAAGGCTCTGCGTGCTCACGATCTGCTGCAAGTTTGGCCTCTCAACCCGCACATCGCAGCACGACTGCTCTACACCGGGACATGCAAGATGGCCTCGCAAGCTTCTTGAAGCTCTTCTTGTCCCACTTGCCATGTTCCAGCCAGGCAGTCTGTGAGATCTGCAGCGCAAGAAGGGGGTTCACTCTTGGAAGGCGTGCCATGCCTCACCCTACCACATCCCGTGTTGCAGCTGACCTCGATGATGGTGTCGGCGTGCTTCGCTAAGTTATGCGCATAGTTCCTGGGCACACCAGGGCGAAGCGAGTCAGGCCTGTGTGCAGGCCTGCGTGCAGGCTGATTCAAATTCTGGCTGCTAAGCCGCGAAAACAGGAGAACACCCTCTTCTTCTGTGAGGATGCCATTGGAATCCTTGTCGGCTTGATGAAAAACCTCCCTTAGTCACAGTGACATGGCGGGGCATTGGGACTGCTGCTGGGTTTCGAATGGCAGGCTCTGAGGGAAGATTGTGCAGTTCTGCTTTAAACCCTGCGTTGTGCAACCAAGACACTTCACGGCTGGTCGTATTCTCCTCTCCAGCTCTTTCCTAGGAGCTCAAAGCGCACCTAAAACGTTGTTGTTGCCTGTTGTTTTCCCTCACTGGCACCCTTTTCATCTCCAGCCTACTGGCAAATGCGACGCACGCCTCACTGCTGGCGAAGACCGCAAACAGCATCAAAAAAAAGCCGGGCTTTTCTGAAGGCGAGATTCGCCAGCCACTGATTTACAGACTCGGCGTTCTTGATTGCAGCATCACCTTTCACAATTGTCCCATTTGGCCTGATCTTCTCGGAATACTCTCGCAACACTTTCCCCAACTCATCGAAATACCTGCCAAGGCAAGCATGGGTTATTATGTGCGCAAAGAGTCAACGCAGTGTGTTGTGTTCATGTCAGCCTGGAGAAGCACGGCGTGTCGCAAAGCCAGCAACAAAGCTCCTCGAACTCAATGAGGCCATCCTGATGCGAAGTCGAACAGTGCATCTTTTTGCAACCCAGGACTGCCACTCTAAACTCGCGTCTGGGGCCTGGTCTTTGTCCACAGCCTCGAAAAGCATTTCCACCTGCCGCGGTGTCATCCTGAAAAGAGGGTGCTGTGAAGCACTGGCGCTGGGGCTTGCACGTGCTTGAGGCGAGAGCTTCATGTTGAGCTTTGCCAGGACAGCTGAGAACCTGTGCCGGAAAAGGTGCACTCAGAAGATCGTCCTCAACATGGTGCAGCCCACGAGGCTCTTTCTTGCTGATGGTGCCGTTGCCATCCTCAAGAACACGATGCAAATGCCATTCCAGCTTGTGGACTGCTTCTTGGAATGTAGAAAGAACTCCAAAAACCGGCAGAAAGAAAGAGCAGGTTACCCTAAACCCTAAACCCTAAACCCTAAACCCTAAACCCTAAACCCTAAACCCTGAATCAGGCCAGGCTCCGAATCGAAGGATTTGAAGGCAGAGATCATGGCCTGCTCTGATTGGGCCTTCGTGACCGCTCCTCGTTCAGCAGGCTCATTTTTCGCTTCATCGGCCCCTCCCTCTGCTATACTAGAACATACGATAATATACTATGGTTATACCATAACATGCTAGAATATACTATCATATACTAGAATATACTATAATATACTAGAATATACTATAATATTCTATAATATTCTATAATATTCTATAATATACTACACTTTATACAGTATTCACTTCTGGTGTGGGCCCGTCGTGCCCGGCCTTGCAATGCAGAGGAGGCGAGCTTCTTCGTGGCCGCTGTGGCCACATCGTCCTGTCCCGCTGAGGTGCCATTTCCCATGGCGGCGGGTGGCGGGGTACTGCCCGAAGAAGTGCCGACAGAGGTAGCAACACGCAACACCCGGATAAATGAAAGATTATCTACAAAACCTTGGCTAGGCTGAATATGGTAGAGGGAGAATGAGGGGCTCTTTACATAAGGCTCGAGTTTCTTCAAAGATCTGCGCTTACATAACTGCATGATTGCACGCGCTGAACAAAACACAGCAGGGTCTGACAGTTCGCGTCTGTTGGTGCAGGTGCGATCGGGGGGATGACTTGGCGTGACTCTCAAAACCCTTCGACTTGCAGCAAATGGAGTTGCTTGAGTTGCTTGAATTGGGCACCCGCCGTGCTCTCGACTCTCGACAGACCACGTGGAGCGCAAAGCACGGTTACCCGATGAGAGGCAAGGCTGCGCTTATGCCGGGGGTGGGTGGGGGGGGGGGAGGGCGGAAGAAACTGTAGTCTACAGTCTGCGGCTTTACCCAGACTGTTGCATATCTCCAAGTAGTCTAACGCCTTTGGTAACCTTGCGTCTCGCGCAGCAGCCGCTTTCGGTGCGGACAAGTCCTCAAAAACAGCAACCTGGAAGTAGTCTTTGGCTGTTTGCACAGCAAATTGGAATCGTCTGTCTTGTGCGTTTGCAACTGCGGGGTAGCGATTGCAACGGAACCGTGTCGGGTACAGAAGCAACCTGACCATAGCGGAAACCAAGAACAGCCTTGAAGTCGAACGAGGTTGAAACAGAAACCACCGGGAAAAGCTCAAACAGAAACCGGAACCTTTAAATCGGGGCGGAATGTGTTGCATACTTGGACACCTTGGACACGTCCCTGCTTGAGAACTCAGGCAGCATGCCCACCCTGCCGACAACTCAGGCAGGAGCTGGTTGAAGCAGACATAGCACCACTTTTCACGTGCTGGCACCTCCTCCTTTTGAAGTGGCAACCTCAAGCTGGTCAGGTGATCAATCCAAACCTTGAATCTCGACCGCCGCCCACTGCCCACTCAGAGAAATACTCCTCCAGGGCGAATTGCGGAGGGCGGGGCGCGGGGGGGACGTACCAGACTTGGCGGAAAGCGGGCCATGCCTCCAAATGAAAGCGCCGTCACGTACCAACAAGATTCCAGACCAGATCGTGTAGCTGGAGCCCGGCATTGTGCACATACCATTTCACTTAGTACTACGACATCTCTACCACACCCGCAAACACATGCATCAGCGATCTGAAGGAGGATTGGCAGGTTGAACGTTTGCACCGCTCAGAAACCAGCGCTCATGAGCTTGAGACTACAACCAGACAAACCTCAGTCGTCGCCCTGGCGATCCCATTCGGTGCGCAGGCGGAGCTCTCCATGGCTCCATGCTGACATATCCTCCGATGCTTCGTGTCTTTGCCAGACTCTCGCCGGCTCTGTCAGTTTCCTTCGTAGTGTACCTCGTCACAGTCCGGCCGATGGCACAGTTGCACAGACACTGACGCCGCAGCATCCTCGAACAAGTTCTCGAAGGGCTTTTCAGAGCCATTGTCCTGGGTCCTGGCGTCCTGGATGGTGCGAGTCTAGCTTTGGAGAAGCGCTCGTTTTTCTTCAAGAATCTTGCCGACCAAGTTCTCACCAACGAAGTCGCCGTTTTCTTGCACAGCTCCCCAGAAACGCCCTTCTCCGAAGAAGATGCGAGCTTGGCCCGTCCTCAACAGCACAGCTGCAAGGGACGGGTGTTGGTCTATTGCGAGGAAGATGCTATGGCGCATCGCTTTGACTGCCCAGCCAAGATACCTCGGTTTCGCTGGTAAAGGATGCACGGCATCCTGCAACGACGTCCCTGTCTCTGACATCAAGACACACCCCGAATGAATCTTGCCGAGCTACCAATCCTCTCTGACAGCTGTTCGCAGTGGATCCTCCGAAAGAGAAGACCGCAGAATCGCCGGAGAGGGCTTAAGACAGTGCACAGCCTTGCGGCAGCGTGGGTCGAGGAAGTGCTGGGCCATGAAGAGGTGGTAGGGCGAAGCCCACACAAGTCGATCCTCTCCCTCCGGGTAGGCGACGGGCACGGCATGAAAGGGTGACAGGGCTTCGAAGTGCTGGCCGGCCTCAACCAACACGTAATCTCGCGGCTCTGCTAGAGGCCCTCGTTCCATACCAAGCTGCTGCTGACACAGTGGGCATATGGCCCAAATGCTAAACTCGATCTCCGAACTTACCGATGGAAAGCCCTGGAAGTCACTGCGCCCGCAAGTTGAGCACTGGCTGCCCGGAGCAAAAACCGAGGTCAACTGTACAGCCTCCAACTTTTTGTCTGTCTCCTCGACCACCTTCCTGATGGACACTGCAGCCAGCGTGGCCAACAGATTTGAAGGATCAGCATCGTGCGCTGGAGCGTCGCTCCCACCAAGACGGCTGTCTCTGTCGTCGCGACTCAGATCGCTCTTGAGCTCGCGCCTCCTCTGCACCAACGGTGACACGCCGATGGACAAAGCTGGTGCTCTTGTCGGACGCTCCTGTCTGCGCCGTTTCTGCAGCCACGCCTCCACACGCTTGCAAGCCTTATCCATTGACCTGCCGACCTCCAGTATCTCTTTTTTTGGGGAGGCCTCCACCTCCACAGCCTCGTGTGCTGAGGGTGATTCCCCATCTATAGGTGTGGCTGGGGGAGAGCTGGTGTCCACAACCATGTGCAGCAACGTCTCACCCAGCGCAATGGATGCCCTCTGTGCAACGCGATCGCCCATGGCGGCAGCCTCCTCCAAACCCAAGCTGGCCCGATGAAGCAAACGCCCAATCTCTGCATTGGCTTCCCCAACCACTGCAAAGCCCGCGGCTACTAACGAGCGACGAACATTCTCCAGTGCATCCGGGGCCTGCGTGCCAACAACGCCCATGGCACTTGTGGCACGCTCTGCCGCAAGTCTGCGTCCCTGCTGGCCTCGGTAGCAGGCTTGAATCCTGATGGCTGCCTTTTCTTCAACAGCTGCGCTTGGCGGTGCAGCGTCTGCAAACATGCCAAAGAAGGTGCCGTCATTCACTGCCTTGCCACTTGTTGCTGGCAGCCTGTTGTGAAGATTGTGCACCTTCACCCGTAGCATGCCGATTGCACCGATGTCCATCTTTCTGTTTGCGAGTGCTTTCATGGTTTTCTGCTTTTCAGCAACCTCTCGGCGTGCCACGCGGCCTCGCTGTCTTGCCTGGATCCTGCACGCGGCTCTATAGCGGTCCTCTTCCGAAAAATCTCTGGCCGACTTGCCTGTCATCTCCGTCGCTGGCCCCGAGTCTGGATCTTCCGAGAAGAATGCGACAGGACTCGGGGAGCGCGGGGAGCGCGGGGAGTGTGAGGGGCTGCTTGGTGAGTCCTCGTGCAGCTTGTGGATGCGGACGGCCCTCACCCGAAGGCTGGCGACTGCAGCGATCTGCAGCTCCGGCTTCTCGGCCTTCTCGGCCTTCTCATGCTCTCCCTGCTGTGGCTGCTGCCTCTGCTGCTTCAGGATCTCCCAGGCGTTCTGCGCTCGCATGCCAACCAGCCCCTGGAGCTTGGCGACAGCTACCCGGTGCCTCAAAGCAAGGAGCTCGTGTCTTGCCAGCCAGCCACGGCAGGAACCTCGGATCTGATGTGCAGCTGAAGTCACTGCCTCACTCCTCTCCTCACTTCTCTCCTCCCCCGCCGGCGTGCTGGCCAGGAAAAGCTGAACCTGTTCGCTTCGTAGTGACGTGGCCTGGCTGTGGAGCTTCTGAGCCTTTACACGCAAGCGAGCAGCCTCAGCGATTCCCACGTCCATTGCATGCCCTGCTCGTGGCTCTGCTCGTTCTGCTCGTGCATTCTTGGCCCGCCTCTCTTTTCTTGCCCTGTAGGCCCTGTATGCTGCTTGGAGACGAGCCACTGCCCTCACCATCCCGGAAATATCTGGCTCATTCTGGTGGCTCGGGTCAGCGTCACGGGCGAAGGGATCAGCGAAGGCAGCGGTCGCAGTGCCGGATTGAGCTGGGGCTGAGGCATCAGACCCCACCGTCGGAGATGGGGCACCCTGAGCAGCTCTTGCGAAGTCACGCTCGCGCACGCGCTTGGTTGGTGATGCCTTTTGATGAAGTCGATTGGCATGGAGACGAGCCACACTTATGGAATCCAGCGTGAGGGCCGGAGTAGCACGCTCTCCACGCGCTCGCCGCTCCAGGTTTGCTCTGGGCTTCCGCTGCGACATCTGTCGTCGAACCTGCCAGCCGCGATACATGGCCTGGATCACTTGAGCAGCACGTGCTTTGCTGGCATGCGTGGCCACATGCGCATCTGATCTGGCCAAATGGACTGCCGTGCCTACCGCCTGGTCCTGCAATGGAACGGGCAAGCTTTCCGTGCCGAGATGTGGCAACTCCTGAAGAGCCAACTTGCTGGGTGTTGACGAAGCTGCTGGCTGTTCTGCTTGCCTCTCCTCGTTGCTTGGAACTTCTCCGACCAATGTGCTGGCCATCAAATCAAACTTTTCGCCCTGCACGGGCGCCTGCTCTTCAGGAGAACCGGCTGATTGACTGGGCTGTCTGACAGTGGCACCGCCTGCCAACTTGCTTGGGCTAGGTGTTGACGAAGCTGCTGGCTGTTCTTCGACCAGTGTGCTGGCCGTCAAATCAGCCTTTTCGTCATGCACGGGCGGCTGCTCTTCAGGAGAACCGGCTGATTGACTGGGCAGACTCGAACTAGCACCGCCTTCTGTTCCGGGATGCAACAATGCCTGAAAGGCCAACTTGCTTGGGCTAGACGAAGCTGCTGGCTGTTCCACTTCGTTTCCATTGCTGTTCGGAACTTCTCCGACCAATGTGCTGGCCATCAAATCTACCTTGTCGCCATGCACGGGTGGCTGCTCTTCAGGAGAACCGGCTGATTGACTTGGCTGTGTGTCGCTGGCACCGCCTTCCGTTGCGGAATGCGACAAAGCCTGAAAGGCCAACTTGCTTGGGCTAGGTGTTGACAATGCTGCTTGCAAATCTGCTTCCTTCTCCGCATTGCTTGGAACCTTTCCGACGACGATACTACCGCCCGTGAAGCCACCTCGCTCGACAGGCTGCTGCTCTTCTGCAAAACTTTGTGGCGTTGTGCCGTCCTCAGCCAACACTGGCGCTGCCTGTTTCTCCGTTCCCTCTGGAGGGGAAACCTGTCCGAAGAATCTGCTGGCTGATGCATCGCCCTGTTTTCCATGGCCATGTGCCCGTTCTTTGGGTGGTGTCTTGCTTTTGGATGGCTTGGGCAGCTTAAGACCGCCGCCTTCGCTTGGACCACGTTGCTCCGGCTCAGATCGCGGAGTTTCTGCACGAGGCTCTGAGGCGTCCAGGAAGGCTTGCTTGTCAGAGCGCGGCGAAGGCGGTGTCGAGCCTGCTGCAGCTGATGCTGCTGTTGCTTGCTTCTCTGGCAACGTTCCCGCTGCAGCCGGAACCTCTCCAAAGAATCTGTTGGCTGACGCATCGCTCTGCTTTCCATGGGCACCCCGCTCTTTGGGTGGCGTCTGGCTTTTGGATGGCTTGGGCAGCTTAAGACCGCCGCCTTCGCTTGGACCACGTTGCTCCGGCTCAGATCGCGGAGTTTCTGCACGAGGCTCTGAGGCGTCCAGGAAGGCTTGCTTGTCAGAGCGCGGCGAAGGCGGTATCGAGCCTGCTGCAGCTGATGCTGCTGTTGCTTGCTTCTCTGGCAACGTTCCCGCTGCAGCCGGAACCTCTCCAAAGAATCTGTTGGCTGACGCATCGCTCTGCTTTCCATGGGCACCCCGCTCTTTGGGTGGCGTCTGGCTTTTGGATGGCTTGGGCAGCTTAAGACCGCCGCCTTCGCTTGGACCACGTTGCTCCGGCTCAGATCGCGGAGTCTCTGCACGAGGCTCCAAGACGTCCAGGAAGGCTTGCTTGTCAGAGCGCGGCGAAGGCGGTGTCGAGCCTGCTGCAGCTGATGCTGCTGTTGCTTGCTTCTCTGGCAACGTTCCCGCTGCAGCCGGAACCTCTCCAAAGAATCTGCTGGCTGACGGATCGCTCTGCTTTCCATGGGCACCCCGCTCTTTGGGTGGCGTCTTGCTTTTGGATGGCTTGGGCAGCTTAAGACCGCCGCCTTCGCTTGGACCACGTTGCTCCGGCTCAGATCGCGGAGTCTCTGCACGAGGCTCTGAGACGTCCAGGAAGGCTTGCTTGTCAGAGCGCGGCGAAGGCGGTGTCGTGCCTGCTGCAGCTGATGCTGCTGTTGCTTGCTTCTCTGGCAACGTTCCCGCTGCAGCCGGAACTCCAAAGAATCTGCTGGCTGACGGATCGCTCTGCTTTCCATGGGCACCCCGCTCTTTGGGTGGTGTCTTGCTTTTGGATGGCTTGGGCAGCTTAAGACCGCCGCCTTCGCTTGGACCACGTTGCTCCGGCTCAGATCGCGGAGTTTCTGCACGAGGCTCTGAGGCGTCCAGGAAGGCTTGCTTGTCAGAGCCCGGCGAAGGCGGTGTCGAGACTGCTGCAACTGATGCTGCTGTTGCTTGCTTCTCTGGCAACGTTCCCGTTGCAGCCGGAACCTCTCCAAAGAATCTGTTGGCTGACGCATCGCTCTGCTTTCCATGGGCACCCCGCTCTTTGGGTGGCGTCTGGCTTTTGGATGGCTTGGGCAGCTTAAGACCGCCGCCTTCGCTTGGACCACGTTGCTCCGGCTCAGATCGCGGAGTCTCTGCACGAGGCTCTAAGACGTCCAGGAAGGCTTGCTTGTCAGAGCGCGGCGAAGGTAGTGTCGAGCCTGCTGCAGCTGATGCTGCTGTTGCTTGCTTCTCTGGCAACGTTCCTGCTGCAGCCGGAACCTCTCCAAAGAATCTGCTGGCTGACGGATCGCTCTGCTTTCCATGGGCACCCCGCTCTTTGGGTGGCGTCTTGCTTTTGGATGGCTTGGGCAGCTTAAGACCGCCGCCTTCGCTTGGACCACGTTGCTCCGGCTCAGATCGCGGAGTCTCTGCACGAGGCTCTGAGACGTCCAGGAAGGCTTGCTTGTCAGAGCGCGGCGAAGGCGGTGTCGTGCCTGCTGCAGCTGATGCTGCTGTTGCTTGCTTCGCTGTCACCGTTCCCGCTGCAGCCGGAACTCCAAAGAATCTGCTGGCTGACGCATCGCTCTGATTTCCATGGGCACCCCGCTCTTTGGGTGGCGTCTTGCTTTTGGATGGCTTGGGCAGAGTGAGCCCCCGATCGGAGCCCTTGCTTCTCTCTTCTCTCGGGGAAGGACTTCTGGAGCTATTGCTTGGCACCTTTCAGCACATTGCCATGACGCAATACACTTCCGTCACAATCACCAAGAAAAGCTGCCGAAACTCACTCATTTTGCGGCCAGGTATGCCCCAGCACCTTGTTGCTATCCTCGGTCTTCGAGGCCTGCTGCGAGTGCTGCTATACGAATCTCTTGATTGACAACGACCGCCTACCCAGGCCTCGAGAAAGTCCATGGTACTCCGTCTGACATGCTGGCCGAGCCTCACTACCCTGCACTGCACGGTATCGTGGCGTTCGTGGCATTCTCTTGACGGTGCTCTCAGTGCTCTCTCTCTGGGAGGCTGCTCTTGTTGCCATGCGGCTTTGAGTGAAGTCTCCGACAGCTTGAGTCGAATTTCACTGACTGGCGCTGAACAACAGAGGCTGGCAGTCAGAAGCTATTGCACTCACACCTTTTCCTGCTGGACATGGCAGTGTGTATGCAAGTGTTTCATGGGTCCCGGTTCCCAGTTGCCCTCGGAGTTACGCTGGGATGGGCTGACCGGTGGAGTGAAGCTGCCCGCTTCGCAGGCTTTGCAACTCAGGTGTGCTGTCCTGTCTATCGCTTCCAGAAACATTCAAGCATGTCCCAAGCCTTCTGTGCTTCAAGATAGCAAGACAATGAGGACAGCACCAGTTTGGGGAGAGATGCAAACCTCACTCGCCAACGCCCATGAAGTTGGCAAGCGTACGCCACATGCCTGGATCTCCCTCCTGATGCAGATGAATGATTAGTGTGTAATGTGCAGCTGCAACATGGCCACGCGCAAAGCTTGGGTCTCCTCTTCCTTGTCCTTCTTTACGGCCATGTCCTCAGATGAAGCTTGCAAGTGAGTCAGAAGCTGTTAACCTGCAGCCTTGTGCCGCCCAGCTGCTCGGCAGCTGAGCCCACCACACCTCGGCAACAAGCATGGAGAGAGGCGCCGAATGGTGCCGAAGGGCAGAAGGACAGTTCTAGCACAAAGCGCCAGGCTTGAAGAAGACCGTGCAGATGTAACCTGGGCAAGGGGCCCGTCTGAGGAGCTATGCCTAGCCCCTGGGTGTTTGGAGTTTAGTCCGACTCGTCCACTTATCCGACTTGTCCCCTTGCATGCATAGTTACAGGGTTGAGTGGCCGTCTTCTCCAACAGGCCCAACCCTGCATCATTCCAGGCTCGCAGCGAGCACCGCGCTCGATCTCGACTCCGCCATGTAGACGTTGCCCTCCGAAAAGGATGCCGCCTCCTGGAAGGTGTGAAGCTTAATTTAGATTCTTAGATCCGGTCAAAGCGATCTAGCAGGAAGCGGCTGAAGCCCTAGCTTGTTAAACTCGCCTCCTTGTTAACTTACGGCTAGCCGTAAGCTCTTCATTCGAGGGCAGAGGGCTGTATGTGCTCCGGCGCCCAGTGTTTTTGCTGCTCAAGCTGAAAGACCTTGTTTCATCACGTGCCATCTCTAGAGCAGCCACGTGCCATTGTCTGTCGGGATCGCAAGGGCCCCGAAAACTGGCCCATCTCTTCCTACGGTCTCTGCGCGCGAGATAATGGCAAACGTGAAGCTTAATACTGTATGATGTCCCTCTTTCTTGTGCCGGAAGGAAAATTATGTCAAAACCGTGAAGGAACGAGATATAACCGAACAGAAGTAAACAAATACACGATTCCTAGGAAGATTGGGGACTGCTGTACGACCGGGGTTCCATCCATTCAGGACCTTTGGACCAGGACAACGGAAAGTTATCGCAGGATCATGAAACGGAACTTGCTGTGTTATGAGCCATCGCGGGCTGTGCATGCTTTGCTGGCTGTACACATTGTTGCAGAGTCAATCTGTTGAATGGGGCCTTCTGGTGTGGCTCCTATTGTCGTGCGGAGACCAACATGAAGTTCGGGCACCTTGTGATGGTCGATACACGCTGCCGTCCAGAAACTCCGTGCCGCCTCCGACGTAATCATTCCTCAGATCAAATTGCACGACGCAGAATGTGCTTGGAGCTGGAGATTGCCTATTCTGGTGTAGCAAAAGGATGCAAAAGGCTGGGGGGGGCCCTAGAGTTGCAGCATGTGCCAGGGTTCTCGTCGGAGAGGGTGATGATTGCACTGACAATGGATCCTTGGTAGCACTTGGGCGGCCCAGACGGCCCAGAGGCACAGTGGATTCCCCTCTGAGAGCTGCACCATCACGATGTAACGACAGGCCCCTTTGTGAGTCTGTTGCGTACCTGACAATGAAGGCATCGTCAACCACCACGTTCTTCGGGGGTAGCCTCGGATGTGTTCTGTTCCTTCGACAGACATTCCTTGCGAAATCCAGCATGGGACAAAGCCGACGACACTCATTGGCTGCTTCGAGGCGCTCGAAGTACTCGCCAATCGCTTCAATGAGTGGTGCTGCGAGCTTGTCCTGTTTGGCAAGGACTGTACATGGCCGGTGATAAAAGGTTTGCAAGCACTTGTTGTCAGAGTCCTGAAAAATCTTCTGGGCACCTGTGGACTTCAAGTCGCGAATCTTGACGTCCTGCGACTGTTACATACTGTTACAAGGTCTTGGGGCGCATGTCAAGAGAGCGCACTCTTCAGCGGCCCTTTTCCAAAGCTTGCTAGATGAGGAGACTTCATTTGAAGTGTGTGGACGCTCATAACGCTAGTTGAGCTCTTTTTGCCCACTCGCGGCGAAGCCCCCAGTTGAGATGGTGAGCCAATGAGAGAGAGCCGGTCAGCCCAATAAGTCAACGGAGCTAACAGACGCCGACGGCGTAGACAGGGGCGCAGGCTGAATGCCATCCACTCCATTCGGGCTCGGTAGCTCGTCAGGGAGCCTTGGGCCACAAGGTTCTCTCTCTCGCTGCCTCTCCACTACGTGAGGCTGTGCTGGGGCACAGGGCACAGTGCGCTTATGGGTTCATGGAATACCCGCACCTGATGTGCGTCGCCACGTGCAAGCGTTCGCCGTGCAGCGTCTCATCGGCCCCAGTGGAGCACATGTAGCGGCACATCTCCGCCTCTTCGGGAAGGCACTGCAGGGCGCTGCCAGAAGTTCTGCAAAGCACCGCAAGGCACTGCAAAGCACTACTCCCAACAGCAACCCGGAAGGCAACCTTGAGAGGCACGAACGTGTTTTTGTCTGCCTGGTGCCTTGTTGCCCCACACCGTCCCTTGTGGTCTTAACCAGGCAACATCAGCAGTGCTGCCATCATAACCTTGAGTCACCGAGCAAGCTGGCTGAAGGCAATGCTGGTATTGGAGCTTTCCTCATTGACTCATATCTGATATATCGCCTGATACCGTCTGATATCGCCTGACAGTTTGCCGAGCAGCGTGTCACGTTGGCGAAAAACCAGCCAGTCTGGAACTTTGCCAAAACCAGCTGTCCTGAGGACTGGGCAAAGATACGACTATCCTTTCAAGATGGCGCTGCTCCTGTCTGCAGTGTCTGCGGAATCTGCATGGGTGTGATGGGCGTGCTTGGCGATGGCGCAACATTAGGCTCTCCGAGATCCAGCAGGTCCTCGGGCGTCGCAGGCGCTGAAGAAGCTCGGATATATCTAGGTGCAGACTGCGGAGGCCTCTTGTGGCATCGGGAGGGTTGGTGGAGCTGTAGCCGTTTCCGCGGCCGCCTATGCGGACATCCGAAGGTGAGCAGAAAGTAAGGCCGACGGGACGATTTACGGGGGGGAGCCTCCCGCGGCTCCGCGTGGCTGACGCCGAAAGGCCCAGGGGAGGCACCGGCGGAGGGAGCAGCCCCAGCCTGGCCCAAGACATTCCGAGAGATCGAAATAGCACAGCGTAGATCAAAGAAGACATAGTCAAGTGAACCAAGTACCAGCAACGATCAGAATAAGAATCGTAATGTATATAGTCATCACAAGACCAAGAGCAATGAAACTGATAGGACAGGAAAAACCCAAACATCTGCTCCGAAGCAGCTCTCCATTTTTCGGCCTCCGAGGCTGGCGAGGCTTGAGGGCTGGCGAGATCTGAGGTCGGAGTCCTTCCAGGTCTCACATGGTCGTGTCGTGCCCTTTCTTGAACCCCGCGAGCTCTGTCGTGAGGTCAAGTTTGTTCAGTCAGCCTTTCAGGGCGGCTCTGTAACATCGGTCCCTGTCGGGCTCGCGCTGGGCCGTGGCAAAGCTAGCAGGAGCAGTTCGAGCATCACCTGGTGGCTGCGAGGCATCCGAGACCAACTGGACAACGGATGCAACAGTTGGAACGCTCCAAAGCGTTTTAGGCTTTAAACATGCGACAGTTCGCAGTCTAGCAGTCTCGCCATCGCATGGACCCCTAACATGCCATGTGCTCAAGGAGTCCATGCCAAGACATGCCGAGATCTTTGTTGCTGCAACCTTTGGAGATGAAGCAGAGAGCTTCAGCATGTTTGTGCCACTGTAATATGCTCTAGCAATACACTGCTTCCATGCATCCGTGACCTTTCCGGTGCCCTCTCTTGTTAAGTGGTTCAAAGTTCGAACACAGCAAAACAAGCGGCATGGACGTGTGTCCGACATGCTCCGACCCAACAACAACAACAACATCCGACGAATGACCTTGCACAACTGTTGCCAAAGCCCCCCCCCCCCCCAAAACGACGCCAGTTACAAGGATGAAATGCAGTGAGGCTGCACAAACGGGACGATGGTCCGTCTGCTTCAGATGTCCCAGAGCGCAGTAGCCTTAGGCGAAAACGGCAGGAAAGCAGAAGGACCTTGAATCAGATTGTTTGCAGAAGGTTCGTATGCAGCGGTCAGGGGCCGAGTCCGAGCAGCTTTTCCTCACCACACTCACTCTGGAGTGGAGCACGCGGTCGCACCAGGCTGGTTGGCGTTCTCGGTCGTAGGCACTTTGTCCTGCAGAGAACCATGAGATCACTTCATCTGCCATCGAACAAACAGCCTAAACTTTGCCTAAACGCCCCCTAAACCCCTCTTACCTCCCCTTAGGGATCTCTGAAAGGCCTTGAAATCTCTGACACGTCTCCGCACCTTCCAGCAGCCGGTAGGTGCAGGGGAACCGAACAGGGCCCTCCACCAGGGCGTACTCCTTCAACAAAGAAAACGGCGGCTTAGAGAGAGGGAGAAAGGAAAGGAGCCGAAAAAAGAACCCTCTCATGAAAAGTAGTACCAACATTAGTAACAACATTTTGTTTTGAACCCGCGCTGTGCTACTGCCTTAGACGGGAATGTGACTGCACCACTCCACGATAGCACCATTAGTAACAACATGTGTACCAAAATATACCAAGATATACCAAGATGTACCCACATATACCAGCATATACCAAAATATGCCAAGATGTACCAAGATGTATCAGAAGTCTTTCCGGGCACTCCTTGAGCAACTCTTGGAGCTCCAGCCTCACACAAACGATCAGGTTTAGGGTTTAGGGTTTAGGGTTTGGGGTTTGGGGTTTGGGGTTTGGGGTTTAGGGTTTCCGGTTTGGGGTTTAGGGTTGAGGCTTTTATTGGCTGCCCTACGAACTTGAATGCATTCCACTAAGAAGGCCGACACAAAGAAGGCAGACTTCCCGAGGGAACAGCAGCTCGGGAGCTCCAACGGCCAATTTGCGCGGGACGCGGTGTAGGATGGTGTAGGCCATACTCTTGCTGATTCTTGTCGGACTATGGGTGTTGTAAGAAGAGTCCTTGGGTCTGGGTTCTTGGTTCCTAGTTTTGGGGCACCGCAGAATTCAATCAGCACAAGAGAAAAACTTAACGTCAGCGTAAAGAGGGCCCGGGAACAGATCTGGGCGGAAAAACTCCACACCTTAAAAATGCATTCCAGCCATTGAGTGGGGCAGCAATTTCGAGAGTCATTTCAGTTCAAGACGTCAAGTCGAACATGGAAAACCGAAGATTCTAGGCAACAAAGCGTTTTGATCTTCAATCTTCGATTTGGTGTCTCAGCTCAGGACGCTTCAAGACGAGAATGGGCAATGTAAATGTAATCAGCACCATCAAGATATGGATCTTTTGGGGAAGGGGGGGAACCAGTCTACACTAGGAGTGAAAACGCTGAATTTACACCCCACAAGGCCAAGAAGTCGGTACAAGAGATCGCCGCTGATGGGCGTGTCGTCTTCAGTCTCTCGAGGGTTCTCTTGGTGCCAGTGGCTCGTGCTGGGAAGCTGAAATCAAGGCGTGATAGCCTGGGTACTGCAGGGGGCCCAGCCTGCTCCTGCTGCTTACGGCGGTCACTTCGTCACCTGGGCTCAGCTTGGAAAAGCGCAAGGGTGAGGTTCACCAATATCGCGACCTGCTTGAACACCCCATGTAACACACAGATGCGAGACGCGGCATGCAGGCAGAGTGCATTCGCGGAACAGTCGCAGCACCTCCTCGCTGGTCTGAAAAGAGCCTTCTCCGACCCTCTGTGAGCTTCCAGTGCTTCCAGTAGTTCCGGTGGCGCCAGGGTTCTCCCATCCTCTCTCCATCATTCTACTCTCGGTCAAAGGGTTCAGATTCAGAGATACAGGCTAATTTACTCTCAAGAGGGAGACACCGACGTGCATGCATCATCACCGCACATCACTCATCCTGCGGACAGCACTTGGGGAATCTGCCCCATGCCCGCCGGGAAGGTGGCTCGAAAGTTGAAGTCACCACCTGCTCAAACTCAGAATCTCTCTTTATTTGCCATCTGGAAGAAGGCCAGTCTAAGCGAGGAGCCCAACACCATGACGTCATACTTCTTGTCCTCGTGCCGCACACCTGCCAAGCACTGAGGCCACTCGAGATACTTCCTGACGCAAGCTGCCAGGCTCTTCGACCAAAACGTTCTCGACCCTTTAAAGATTTTGGGGGTCCTGTATACATGCCGCCGCTCGAGAGAACTGATTGGAGCTGACTGAAGTACGTCGCTGCAAGTCGGCAAGATTGACTCGCGCTTCTTTCATGGGAGGCAGTAGCAGCTGCGAGGAACGAAAGCCGTAGGTTAACAGAAGCCACTGCGAAAGTCTGACGAGACACTTTGCAGAATCTCGCGGAGCTGTTCGAGACGCTCCTGACGAGGAGAAGTGTGGGGCATTGGGGGAAGTATAGGACGGATTGCTGGGGCGACAAGTCATTTGGTCCTGTTGGGGGCCTCGGACATATTCGATGCTGCCAAGCATGTCAGAGGCAATGCCGATGTCTCACTGAGCCACTGAGGATTCTGCTAGGGAGGGGCAGCGCTAGATGTGCTCCAACATACTGCAAAAGAGGCCCCTGAAGAATTGCATTCGGTGTTGGGGGCACATCACGCTTCAGAGCAACTCGGAAAACTGGGGTTCAGGGCAACGGTCCAAAGACTGGTCTCCAAGACTCTGGGGTTAGAGCGATTTCATGCGGATTGCCACCAGGTTCTCAGTTTCCTGTTCGCATGCTTTCTGTGAAGGTTCTGGTTGTTTACTGATTCTGAGCAACTATGCCATGTGAGCCCAGAAGTCCAAAGGCGACGACAGTTGCAAGGATGGCGAGCGCGTCCCTGCCCGCCTAAAGGGTCTCTAGACTCTAGACGAGTGCGATTCAACTTTCGTCTAAAATGCGAGCAGGCCTGGAGAAAAAAAGCTCGGGCGTTGGCCGGGAAAATAAAAAAAACAACATCGAAACAAACATGGGAGGATTGCAGCGGAGCCAGCTTTCGAGAAGCAATGCCTCAGCAAAGGTGCAGTCCTGGGCCTTCTTGGCTTGCTGACCGCTCTCCAAGTGCAGGCTGATTGCACACACAGATGTCCTTAGATTCCCCACGCTTGGCTCGAAAACAAGGATGCAGCATGCAGCGAACATCAGCGAACTCGGATGCCGCCCAGGCCAGGAGACTCCTCGATCTTGAAGCTTACGGCCACGGCCCCCTGGCGAGAAGCCACATTGGAGCCACAGTAGAGCCGTAGGGTACCCAAGTCACCAGAGAAACAGTCAGGATCACGCGCAGCATCTTTACATATCTTACTCTGCAGTACCCCTGCCTTGTTACCAGCCTGGCCATAAAGCCCAGAGCGAATGCGCTCTGCGGACACGGACTTCACAGACTTGGCCAGGCGCGCCGCCACGAAGACGGACACGAAGAGCCCCACCATTCCTAACGAGGGGGAGGGGGAGGAGGGTGGCAGAGTGTGATTAAAGAGCGAGGCTGAAAAAAAAAACCAAAAGCTCCTGTGGAGCCCATAAACCCTGAAACCCAAAAGTGCAAGCCCTTCCGGGTGCCTAGAGATGCCCCCGCTTCCTGGTCCTGAGTCCTTGTCCAAAATCGAGGCCCTAAACCTGTCGCCCTTCGCTTCAACCCTCCGAGACTCCCACAAGGCACAGGGTTTATAACAAAGATCCACTTGGTCTTCACAAACCCCTGTTTTTTCTTCTCCCTCAAAACCAGCGCATCTTCACCGGGTCTCCGAAACTTCGCAGCTCCCAGAAGCTCTCGCCCAGTTCGGCGTGAAGAGCGGAGGCCGCCGCAGCTTCGAACCGTGCCTCGAAGACTCAACGGGGAGAAGAACCTCTCACTACACGCACAAAGACCACCCTTTTTTGGTGTTTGTAGGTACAAGTATGTTACTCACGAACTCCCTTTCAAGAGTCAGGTCAGAGGGAGCCAAAAAGAAGGCCAACTGGAGAAGGGTTGATTGAAAGCTGAGATCGCCGTCGCAGCAATCTTGGCAACACCAGATACGGAGCGCAACATCCCAACAACAGGCCTGCCGAACCTCATCACCAGAGGCCAACAGGACCACATTGGTGGCAGACAGTTCCTGGGCGACTTGCAACAACATAGCGGACTCATGGCGGCACGAGTGCTCGCTGACAACCGAGATGAGGCTGAGATGCTGAAAATTCTTGAAAGCAGAACACAAAGACATCTGGGCTCTCTCGGGCACCATTGACCTCGCAAGCTCCACGAATCAAACCTGGGAACGAGCGCAGCAACTTTGAGTCACGGCAGATTTTGAGTCGCATTGTGTGTGGCATACAGCGGTGTCAAACTTGTTTTTTGGTTAAACTCTTTCTCTCAGAGGAGAGGGGCTCTGCAAGGTCTCCGCCGACTCCCAGGGTGTGCGGCCATGGAGGTTCCAGGTGGCCAGGGCGAAGCGGAACTTTCCTTGGGGACTTCGGCGGATCTGCGAGGAAGGCACCTGCATCAGCAACGAGGAAACATCGAATGTCATAGAGCCATAGAATGACACAGCCCTATAGCTTCCAAAAAGAGCTTCCCCAGATGTATGAGAGATGCATAACGAATAGATGCCGCAAGGTATCGCAAGATGATTCAGGTGAAGCTTCTGTGCAGCGCTTCTCCCTGGCCTTTGTCAGCTTGTGGCTGCCTAAGAGCAACTGCAAGGCCGACTGCCGCGCATCGTCTTCGAAGTGAGCGCAGTAAGCCTCGAAAACTCGCAGAAAAGGCTTGGACAGAAAATTCTTGCCATGTTTTGCCCACTCAGGGGCTGGCCCGGTTCACTGCACGCCAACCCTTCTCCAGCATGGCGCGTGTCGTGTGGCCGCCTCTGCATGGACAACTCAGTGTTGTAGTTAGTTCCGGTTTCAACCCTAGCCCTGTGCCCGGATGTGTTCGGGCACCTTGGCGTAGAGCTGCACCCATGGTACTCGCTGTGCCAGTGTACCTTAAGAACCCTGGCAAACACGATCGCAGCTGGCGACTTCTTGCAACAGCGATATCAGGATGCGTGGCTTACAAAAGCAAAACTGGCCTGTCGCAGCTCTGAAAAACATGTCTCTGCCCAAAACAAGACAGGCGTGATCACTTCCAAGCGTCTGCTCTGAGAGTGCATCGCCCAAGTCCGCCCACATACTCCTGGAAAGATGGTGTGTAGGCTCTCTGGCTTCTTCTCTTGCTGTCTCTGTCCCGCTTCCTGAGCACTGCCTGCAAAGAAGAAGTTGAACTGTCGACCACGGCCTTGCTCTTGTATCCTGGAGCTTGGACAAAGCAACTCTACTGGTCCCTTCCACACGTGACGGTAGATGTGGCCACAAAGCAAACCAGCAACAATGCTGTGTTCTACCATGTTTCTGGGTTCTCTGGATTGCTCTTTATTTACGATTGGTGCTCAGGTACGAACAGCACCAAAACAGATCGCAAACTACATCTGATCACAAACAAGCACTTGCAAACATATGCTTAGAACGACATGGTTCAAGCCTGTGGGCAAGTCAATTAAAGGAACAACCAAGGTTGCCTCAACGATTCCCTGGCAAGACATCCAATGTCACCAGTACAGTCATTCGCAGATACGGGAGGAATTGCCGAAAAACGCATCGAACTATAGCAGGACCCACACCTGCCTTGACCAATGGCAGGACACTTGTATCACAGAGTGCTCCCTCAGACTGATCTGCAGCTTGCAAACCGGAAAAGTTGCTATAATTGCACAGCCTCGCGCACATGGTGCAGTCAAGATGCAAGTGTTGTCACAATCTTTCCCTGCCCTATACGGCTCTAGTTCAGGAAGACGCCGGAAAGCAGGACGTTCGTTACATGATTTAAATGGTGATTACCGCAGTGAAGCACACAGTATATGGCTCCATACCCAGCCATCCAAAAAATCGAAACCTAGCGCTAGTTAGCCCTGCAAGCGCCGTCCCTGCCTGAAGATCCAGCAACAGGCATTTGGCGTGCATGCAGCTGGGCTCTCAGCCATCGCCAGGTGACCTGCGAATGCGCACGGCATTTCGGCAAGGTGCCGTCTCACGACACACATAAAGACCAACAAAAAGCCTTAAACCCTAAACCCTTTTTTGAACCCGGACTCTGCATATCAGCTGGCCAGCGTGGAGAGAGCAGAAGACTGATACAAAAATGAGCGTGCGAGGCTCAGCAAGCAGCTCAACAAACAATGCGTGCCAAACAGAAGGAAGCGCTCCAATGACAGCTGGCTCTGGAACCCTGAACCCTAAACCCTATAAGGTTCCGCAACAGGATCCAAAATATTCCCCAACCTGGTATTGGAGGACGTTGGTGCGGTCCAAAGAGTCGAAGCAGTTGGTGCGTACAACTCCTCGCTGGCGCTGCAGCCTGGGGGGGGGGGGGGGGGGGGGGGGGGGGGGGCAGACTTGGACTCCCATTGGCTCGCTGACGCTCTCCCGGAAACTCTCTTCGCCAATATATATATATATATATATCTATAATATATATATATATATATATATATACGTATCAATATTCATTCAATACAATGAATATACATTATACATTATACATTGTACATTATACCTTCTACATTATACACTATACATTATACAAATATATATATATATATATATTACATACTGACAACAGCTCCAGAACACCTACAACAGCTAAGAACACAACTGCTGCCGAAGATCACTTGCACCTGGCTTGAGGAGGTGGCTTTGACCTCCAAGAAGCCGAAACCTCCACACGAAACAGCTCAGAATCGAACTCAACGCCGCTTTTACTGTTGCGACAAGGCCTTCGATGGTGGATGACACCTCATCTTGGCTCACAGTCAGCCCACGCATGGACTCAGCTACGAGTGACTGAGTGTAGTGCATCAGCCCTCTGCGCAGGGCAGTTGTTCCTTTTGCATTCTTCACTGCAGGAAGCACGTTTTCCCTTTTTTGCCTTTGCTTTATTGGTGTTCTTGGTGTAGCTTGGAAGCTGACCATGGAGCCGGCTGTTTGGTGACAGGAGACAGCGTGCACAAGCTGGCGAAATACCCAGCCAAGTCCGCGACATCGTCATAGATGCTATCGAGCTCCCTGCTGAAGGCCTCCTGACTCGGGACGAGGCGGCTAGGTTGAAGCCCAAGGAACGGGCCCGTGCACTCGCAAAACTGCGCCTCTTCTCCCGTCACTCGGGCCTTTCAGGACGGGCCATGGCCACAGAATGTCATGGCTCAGAGCTCGAAGCTCTGCATAGCTCTTCGCGGGTTGTTTCACTGTTGTTTCGTTGACAAGCACTTAACATCGCCGAGACGCGTGGAAGTCCAGCTGTGCGAAGCCTTCTCCGCTCCGCCTGTGCAGCAATGCAAGGCTCGATGGCTTCAGGCTGAAGTTCTGGTGACTTGGAGATACTGCGGGTGCAATGGGAGGGAGGAGAGAATGCATTCCATGTCTTTGTAATGCTCAACGCCGCCCGCCGTCTGCGGCAGCCTGGGAACTACGTCATGCCGGCCCGAACGCGACTGTTCGAAACGAGGGCACCGACGAGAGAAGGGTCTTCGACCATCATAAGATTCAGAACCGGCGCATCTTTTAGATGTTCCGGTGAAAGGAGGCATTGTCCAACTAAAAAATTCTTCCGCTGGTCCCTCCAGACTTGCAGAAGATTGACGGTGCAGCAACTGCTGCTCTTTGCAAGCCCAGCGTCGCGTGCCACGTCTCAGATTGCACTACCTGCTCCGGAGCATGCACCCCCCTTATAAGCTCCCGACTGTTCCACGTATTATTTCACAACTGTTGAGTCTGCATCCCAGGTGCACTGTGGTCTGGGAGGGCGGCCACATGCTAAGGGAGGCAGCGTAAGGATCTGCAGCGATGCGGAGTTGCGGAAGTATGGTTCCTGAACTCACTGGACACTGGAATAAATGGTCCTCGAGCAGCGCCCTAGTACCAGTCATAGTCCACGGCTGCTAAGTCAAGAGCCTTTCAGCTGCTTCCTGCCAAGGCGCGTTGAAGCTGCTGTACTTGATGCTCAAGCCTGCCTCCGATGGCAGGGGTGGTAACCGCCTTCATAGGGATGCATCCACCATCATCCACCTAGAACCCTGCACCTTTCACGTTTCGGAGGTCTTTGAGGGAACCGAAACCTCCACCCCCCCCGACCCGTCGGGATTCCTTTCCAAGAAGGAACCTGGGAACAATAGACTTCTGAAATGACCTGAAAGTCTTAGAAGTAAGCGAACAGTGAGGTGCGAGTCGGGCCACATCATGACGTGGATGCTCCGAGGCGTGATTCTCGTCCAAACCCTAAACCCCCGACATCCCAACAGGCACATTGAAAATCAGAAGCTGTTGCGACGGTTATTGCATCGTTTTCGACCATGACAGTTAACACATATTCATACTCAACACGAACATTGACATTAATCAATGCCGTCCGCAACCATGTCCCATTCGGGCAAGCGGCCGTCAGCACAGGCCAGTTGGTGGCATGTGGTTCCCATGCCAATGAGCAGGCTGTTTGTTTCCTCAACAGGCCCAAATTGCTTCCCCAGAACTTTAGTCTGCTGAGCACTGAACCCTAAACCCTTTTTTTCCATCTGGGCTGAGTGGGGAAAGCCAGAAAAAGCAGCTGCTGGCACAGCCTGCTCAGCTCTGCTGGCGGACACGCCATACTCGCGCTACATACTCGACACGGGCGCTCTCAAACATGACACCACACGATCGGATGATGATCAAGATGTGAACGCACAGGGCTTCGTGAATCACTCGACAATGTGCAATGGCGGCCTGCAGATGTGCAAGGTTCAAGTGGGGCACAGGGTACGTGAGGAACCCTTCTTCCTTGTGAAGAAAAACGGTTTTGTAACCGCATTCTCCATCTGCCACCGTCTCACGTTGCACAAGATACAAGCTCAGCAACCAAGGGACTTCTAGGAGCAGGGACTCTCGCCAATTGCTCCAGGCCGACTCATACACAAATGTGTGATGCAAACGGTTCCACTCAAACACTCGGCCGAGACATCACACGCCGAGCATTTCTGTCCGTGGGTGATGTTTGGCACCGTTGTTGCATTCACAAAGCTGTGCAGAATCATGGTCATGCAGGTGCAGTTGCAGGAATTAGGATTGCGGAAGCAGCAGCTCGTGCAGCCGCTCACGCTGCTGCGAAGACGAAGGCTCAAACCGCTTCTCAAGCTGCCGCTGCTAGCATTCGGAGTCGGAGTACTCAAGCTCCACTTCGCAGGTACTTCGGCACGCATAGCCATGCCGGGGTTGGACTTTCTTCCGGCAGTCGCGAGCCCTGTCGCATCGCGGCCTTCGAAGCGCAGTCGACCAGAAGTCGGGCGCCCGAAGGGATCGGCGGAACAGCAGGTTCAAGTGCTCAGCCAACAGTTCAGCAGATGTGTCAAATCTTAGCCAGTCACGATCACAGCCTTCGAGAGTTGGAAGCTTGGTCAACTCTAACTTGGTTGCTCGATCAGAACAGCGAGCTCGCGAAGCATCTGCTGGCTCACATGGATGCCTGGAAGCAGAAATCGCAACAGGGGCAGCCTCATCCAGATGGACCGGCCAGGCTCACCGTAGGAGCAGCTCTGGCGACATGGGTGCTAGACAGTCCTGAGCGGCGTGCTGCTTGTCCCCAGTTTGCGGTTGCCCATGACAAGATTGCGTCGATTGCATTCAGCTCGCTTTCGTGAAGCCAATCAAGGATGGGCAAATCCTTCTCAAAATCAGGCCCCACCTGCAGATGCGGGACGCATGGACAGAAGTCAGCGCAGTGCTGTCTGCAGAGGATTTCGCTGAGACAAAGGACACGGCGGCACCTCCTGGGCCAATCATTCGCAGTCTCACAAAGGGTGACAAGTAGCTATGAAGCCAATTTTTGCATTTTGTCTTGCACATAAGTGCTCAAGCTTGCAGTGTTTGAAGAGGGGAACTGTGCCCCCCTCGGAGCCTAACCCCTTTTTGCAAAGGGTCGCAGGGCCAGCTTTTGAGGGAATTGTTGCACACCAGCTTCAAGCTCGTGTGCGCAGTCCTAGTACTGTGGTTACACAACAGCGGGATGTAGATATGCAAACGCTGAAACTTCACCACTATGTGGTTGCAATGCAAATGCAATGTTGCATTCACAGGAGAAGGAGCATGCAAGTGGTACCGTTCACAAG